TAGAAAAGTTCAGTTGGTTTCTGTTTGGGCCAGTTCTAGTTTTTGAATGTGCAATGAAAATATTTATTAAATCCGGCAATGGCATGTGTCACTGGAGCAAGTTCATGATTATATGACAAAAATTAATCACACAAGTCAGTGAAGTTATTAACCTGGGAAGATGAGTTTTTTCCACTGTGATGAGCTCTTTCTCCACTGTGTTCAGTTGGGTTGTTCTGCTGAGATATTCTGGTAATATTTCACAAAGGGTATTTCTACTTTCACTCAAGTACTGGAGTTGGGTTACATTGTTCACCACTGGTAGATCTTTTCAAATGAATTGACATCAGGAGCAAAAAAAAGCTCTTTGAGTGTAATAACAGCTCCCCCTGCTGAGAAAAGCAGGACTCTACCTCAGTCATATGAAACAGTTTTTGTACAGTGTAGCTGGGTTTCCTGTCACTGTGGGCCTCACAGCACAGTAGTAGAGTGCAGAGTCTGATACTGCAGCAGAGGAGATTATCAGATTCATTATTTTGTTGCTGTCTGTAGCATTCAGGCGTGGGAAAGGAGGATTTGCATGGGTTACATCAGCTGATCCTGGATATTTCAGCAGTAAGAACTCTGGTCTGGATCCAGGATACTGACGATACCACTGCAGACTGTCCACATCACCATCATACTTGCAGGTGAGAGTAACTGTCTCATCTTCACCGAGCATAAACCCGTGTTTTGTTTTCCACTGGTGCTTTTGACTGTGCAGAAGAGTTCCCTGTGAAGAAATGAAATAAAAATCACCAAAACAACCTAATTTATCACTGATATCCTCAGATACATCATCACAAACAAATAAAACATAAACAGCAACAAACACTTTAAACACGCAAGTGTATATTTGACATAGATAGAAATGGAGTCAGCTACACTTACTTAGCATGATGATAAAGACAGTCAGAGAGCACAGAAACATCATGGTGGTTCCAGTGTTCAGGTAATGAGGAGAGATTTGGTGCTACTGTTCAAGCATGTAAAGACTCCTCCTACATTTGTCAGTGGATCTGTTATGACAACCAATGAAGGCAGATCACAAGAATAACAATTTTTCCCAGCATTAAAAATAATAAATAATTTTGATGGTACTCAATTGTCAGTGGTTTCATTGCCTCACTCTGTGCTCCATTTACATTGTAAATGTGGTGTATATGTGTTTATAATCATGGAACTTTAGATATTAAAATATTTATGAATGTTAAAAATAAGTTTAAAGATGATGCCAATTATGCATCTGATGATTCGATTTGAATTTGTGAGACAAGAAAAGCAATAACAGGCATAATTTTTCATCTTCCAATCAAATTCCATCTTTCCAATACTTCTATGTAGAAGAGTTCACAGTACTGAAACAGCATTAACTAGAGTAGTAAATGATCTCCTTTTGTCTCTTGATAGTGGCCGTATTTGCATACTAGTCCTTCTAGATCTCAGTGCAGCATTTGATACTATCAACCACAAGATCCTTCTTGATAGGCTGGAAAATCTGGTTGGTATCAAAGGACAGGCTTTGCCCTGGTTCCGATCCTATCTCACAGACCGCTATCAATTTGTCAGTGTTAACAATAAACACTCTGATCGTACACTAGTACAATATGGTGTCCCCCAAGGATCAGTGCTCGGGCCGCTGCTTTTCTGTCTGTATACGCAACCTCTTGGTAACATAATTCACAGATTCGGCATTAGTTTTCACTGCTATGCAGACGACATGCAGCTTTACGTATCTGCTTAAACCAAATGAGGCTCTGAATCTAAAGAATGTGTTAAAATATCAAAAGCTAGATGACCAACAATTTCCTTCTTCTTATTCCTAACAAAACTGAGGTCCTACTACTTGGATCCAAAGCAGAGAGACCTCAACTCTCCAAATTTTAACTAAATTCCGTAATATTCTAGCCCTAAATGATGCGGAAAAGCTGGTGCCTTTATAACCTCCAGGCTGGACAACTGTAACACCATTTTAGCTGGATGCTCCAATACGTTACTAAATAAGCTCCAACTGGTCCAGAATGCAGCTGCTAGAGTCCTTACAAGGACCAAAATGTTTGACCATATATCCCCAATCCTGTCGTCATTACATTGGCTACCTGTTAAATTTTGTGGAGAGATCCTTCTCTTAACGTATATATCATTAAACGACCCCGCAGTATCTCAGTGAATTAATTCAGTCATATGAACCCACACGTGCGCTCCACTCACAGAATAACGGCCTGCTGACAGTTCCTAGAACTAGAAAAAACACAGCAGGGGGTCGAGCATTTTCCTACGTAGCTCCAAAATTGTGGAATCATCTCCTGCCCTCTGTTCAGGACTCAGACACACTCTCTACATTTAAAACTAGGCTCAAAACTTACCTGTTTGCTCAAGCACTTTGCTAATATCAGTTGCTGCACTATTAACTCACCAATATCTCTCCATAAACGGACGTGTCCTGTTAATCAATTTCTCTCTCTCTCTCTTTATTTGAACCCCTGACCGACATCTACCTGAGTCGTCACATGGGAGCTGCTAGAGTCACCAGAGCTCCATCTCTGTTGGCTGATCTGCACCGTTTTGACCACCATGGAGTTTCATGCTGTACAAAGCTGTGCAAACCTCACCTGCATGAACTGACCCTCCTGATGCTGCTGCTGCATACAATCAAGCTCTCAGATTAACCATTGCTCCACCTGTTTCTCCCCTGTTTTTGCATTCTAATATTTTATACTAACGCTGTTTGCTATCCAGTGTTGACCAGAGGAGGATGGGTTCCCTTTCTGAGTCTTGGTTCCTCTCAAGGTTTCTTCCTCTTGCTCTTAGGGAGTTTTACCACCGTTGCCATTGGTTTGCTCATGGGGGCTTGGACCGGGATTTTTCTGTAAAGCTGCTTTGTGACAACACCTGTAGTAAAAAGTGCTATATAAATAAACTTTGACTTGACTTGACTATGCAGATAGCAGTCAGTTTGTAACAGGTAAGAGCCATCTGGTCTATAGACCAAATCAGAATGTGTGTAAACAGAAAGGCTGGCTATACTTCCAAGTGGATAACTCACATCAGAGACATCCAGTCAGCATGAAAGCAGCTCAATTTCTGGAAAAAATTACAATAAATACAAACATAAGTGAGTAAACATCGGCAATAACAGTAAAATTATGTTGAGTTTGAGGATGTGATGTCAAATGTACCCAAGTATATAATGGATATTACTTACCCTTTTTCCAATTTTCCTCCTTTCAAAGCAAATAGAGCTTCTACAAGTATTTCAATCCCAGTAATGGATCCTCTGTTTACTAAGACTTACAGCAGAAGATAACAACATTTAGCAAATCCACTGCTCTTCCAGATGAACATCAAACTGCCCGGGACTGTTACATGATCAATAAGAGCACCACAATCTACAGTAGTATTGTAGATTGATGTGTTGATTGCTATTTTCAGAATGATTACTGCATTGATAGTTTGACATAAGGCAATGTAGGCTACTTAAGGAGCTAATACTGTTGGCTAGCTTTTATGCCAGTGGCCACAGAGCGAGTGTTTTTGCTCATATTGTCAGACTTGACAATAAAACGCTGAAACTTTGTTTGATTCTACTTGTATGTAAATGTAGACATTTGTGTGAGTGTATGTACAGAGTAGAGCAATATATCCTCAATGTCTCTTTGGTATTTATCATCTTAATTTAGTCTGTGCCATTGTCTTGTATAATTTTAAATGAATACTCATAATTTCTTCTATTACTGTTAAGCTTTATTACCGGTATGTATCACCACTAGTATGAAAAGTGCTCTATAAATAAAGATAAAGATATTACTATTTCAGCCAATAATCTGAAATGGCATGTGAGGTAGATAATAAGCCTAGTTAGACACTTTAGAGTGACAGAAAATGACCAAAAATTGTTAAATTGTTAATCGTGGTTATTATACCAGGTCCAGCTGTCTCTCAAGCAGGAGCAAAATGAACTACAGGTAGAACCTAGAACTAGGGAAGTTCAGTTGGTTCCTATTTGGGCCAGTTCTAGTTTTTGAATGTGCAGTGGGATCATTTCTTTATTAAACCCTGCAGTTACATGTGTTGCTGCAGTAAGTTCATGATTATATGACAAAAAATAACCACACAAATCAGTGAAGTTATTAATCTGGGAAGAGTTTTAAAAAGCTGATTTTGATATATTTTGGTTAAATAACTCTCAGAATTAGTACAAAATGATTAACATGCTTCAGTAACGAACAGAACATGGGCTCAGGAGTACTTTAGAACACGCTTGTTAGTAAACACAGTTTGTCGCTGCATCTCCAAATGCAAGTTAAGACCCTGCTCTGTAAAGCGGAAGCCAAATATTAACAACATCTAGAAACGCCGCTGACGTCTCTGGGCTAAAGCTCGTCTGAGATGGACTGACAAAAAAGTGGAACCGTGTATTTTGGTCTGGTGAGTCCACCTTTCAAACTCTATTTGGAAACAATGGACGTCATGTTCTACAGACCAAAGAGGAAAGTTTCAATCCAGACTGTTACCAAATCAAAGTTCAAAGCCAGAGTCTGTCATGGTTTGGGGGTGTGTTAGCGCCACTGCATGCATAAGTTGCACTTTTGTGAAGGCACCATTAATGCTGAGGAGTACATATGCATTTTGGAACAACATATGCTGCCATCTAGACAATGTCTTTTTCAGGGACATCTCTTCTTAAGCAAGAAAATACCAAGTCATGCCAAGCGCTGTGTGTCTCTTTTTCCATTGTGTTTATTTGGTTTGTGCTGCTGAGATATTTTGGTAATATTTTACAAAGTATTTCTACTTTCACTCAAGTACTGGAGCTGGGTTACATTGTTCATTTGTAGATCTTTACAAATGATTGACATCAAGAAGAAAGAAAAGCTCTTTGAGTGTAATAACAGCTCCCCCTCCTGAGAAACAGCAAGACTCTACCTCAGTCATATGAAACAGTTTTTGTACAGTGTAGCTGGGTTTCCTGTCACTGTGGGCTTCACAGCACAGTAGTAGAGTGCAGAGTCTGATACTGCAGCAGAGGAGATTATCAGATTCATTATTGTGTTGCTGTCTGTAGCATTCAGTCGTGGGAAAGGAGGGTTTGCATGGGTTACATCAGCTGATCCTGGAAATTTCAGCAGCAAGAACTCTGGTCTGGATCCAGGATACTGACGGTACCACTGCAGACTCTCCACACTAACCTCAAACTTGCAGGAGAGAGTAACTGTCTCATCTTCAAGAGCATGAACCTGTGTTTTGTTTTGCACTGGTGCTTTTGACTGTGCAGAACAGTTCCCTGTGAAGAAATAGAATAAAAATCACCCAAAACAACCTAATTAATCTCTGATATCCTCAGATACATCACCACAAAGAAATAGAACAAAAATATCAACAAACACTTTAAGCACGCAAAGTGTATATTTGACAGATAGAAATGGAGTCAGCTACACTTACTTAGCATGATGATAAAGACAGTCAGAGAGCACAGAAACATCATGGTGGTTCCAGTGTTCAGATAATGAGGAGAGATTTGGTGCTACTGTTCAAGCATGTAAAGACTCCTCCTACATTTGTCAGTGGATCTGTTGTAAGAACAAAGTACTGGGCCTCTGACTGAATGTGCAGCACTGATAGACTTTAAATTTTTGCTGTGTCAACAGAAATCTAATCTCTCCAATATGTAAATAGAAACAAATACAAAAGCACATTATAAAAGCAAACACAACAAGCATCAATATTGGGCAAAATGCATATAAGGAAATACAAACATGCAGAATTACTAACAGTCATCATTCCTTGAACAGCCTTTTCTAAATAGATACAAAAATGAAAAAAAATGTCTTTTTTTATTTTCTATATATGCCAAGAAGTGCAGTCTATACATCTGGCCCTGTAGGTAATGAAAGATGAGTCATTTTTTTTCACATGTAGATTCTCTACATCGCAACTTTGGTGTAGTAGACTTAGAGGCATTTTTAATAACATGCTGATTATGTAGAAAGTTCACAGCACCATCATACAAGCAGGAGACAACAACTATTTTATCGTGAAAGGCAAAAAAAGAACAGTGAAAAACAGTCCCCTGATAAGAAATGACAGTTACAAGAACTTTGAATCAGTACTGTATAAAAGATCAATTGCCACTGAATTTATAATGAGAAACAGAAGCCACAGAGCATCTGAGAACGACACAGTAAACTGCAGTCTCAGAGTTTCTTGTGGATTTTTTATTTAGCTCCTCATTTCAGCTTCTTTAACCCTCTTAGGTCAACAATGTTGTATGTGACATCAAAGGATGTCGTACATAAAAAAAATAAACATCTTGGGAACGCTGCATGCTACAGACTTACTTTCATTTTTTCCCAGAAGGCTAGTGTTTAGCCATTTCAATGAAGGCTCAGTTGTGATCGTATCCCTTTCAGCAGCTTTGTAATCCAGCCTTGAGCTGCTCTGTCTTTTTGGAGACTTTGTAAAATAGGTCCATAATGACAAATCCAAAGCTGAATGTCTTCTGCCAGTATTTATCTATTTCTCGGGTTTAAAAGAGTTATTGTTATTGTTAGCATGGCTATTAGCCATCCTCTATGGCTGGGTTGAGTCTGTCAACCACTCAGAGGCTGTGTTCCTGACTTTGTTATATATAACATTCTTTTTTTGCATATAACATTGTTGACCTAAGAGCTTTAAATGCATAACTCACTTCAATCCAGCAAATCTAGATTAAACCTGCCCTCTTCTGGTAGACATCCATCATTACACCTTTCTTTGTAAACTGGCATAACTGTTCCACAATAAAATCTCAACTACATACGACCAGGTTCAGTAGCAAACATTAGTGTAATGATGGTGTAAATGTAATGTAGAAAAATCTCAGTGAGAAACTGATCCATTATAATTAATGCATTTTTCAAATTATGCTACAGAAGTACTTTACTGTCATACACTGTTATCACTTTTCTGTCATTCATCCTCAAGGAAATCCAGCTGTAGGATACATAAACGTTCACTATTAGCTAATCTAAGCTGGTAAAATGGAGAGCATTCCACTGGGTTAAAGAGCAAACAGAAGGAATGAACAGAAGGAAAATAAAAGGCATAAATTACCAAAATTACATCACTTTTTTCTGTTAGAAAATTGAATGCAGACAGCAGCTGGACAGTCTTTGTAACAGGTAAGAGTTGTCTAGTCTACAGTCAAGCTGCCTGATGGAGATTTAAAAAAAATGTAATTAAGTGTTTTGGAGGTGACAGATCTTTATCTTTGATAGTTCTAACAAGTAGTGTTTATTAACCAAAAGAATAATAATCTTCACACTGTAAGATGGGCCTTAGCTTGCATGGGAATTTGGACACCGGAGTGCCCTTTCACAAAGAGGCCTCCAGAAGTTTGTGAGAATCTGCTGTGTGAGACAGAAGAGCTGTCCTTGAGATGATAAGAACCAGTTTCTGGAGTCGGTGAATTTACAATGCGACCAGTCAAAAGCTAATGCCCTTGGGAGAGTGGAACATCCTGGTACAGCTAAGATAAGATATTTTTAAAAAACATATATCATATATGTTTGGAAATAAGGGTTCCCAAGGAAAAGTGTAAGGTTTGGAAATGATGGGAACTAAGATGGTATAGAGTTTTAAGGGAGAAAGGGAGGGGTGATTACTTCATCACCCCAAACAGGATATAAAAATGGGTGTTCTGCGAATGATCTTTGCATTGTGGTTGTCCAGGAACCATCTTGCCATTCAAGCTCAATAAAGAAGAAGGCCTTTTCCTTCCTTCCACAAGAGCTCAGTGACTGGAGTCTCTTATTTTACTTTGCTCTTTTACACTTAGACATTTTTCTTATTTTGTTAGAAGAAGTTATATTGCAGTTAACTCTTAAGGTAACAGCATTAGAACACGCTAGAAGAATCCATCTTCTGTCCACGGGCCTTGGGCGCAGAAGAGAGGCTCTTAGGCCCAACAGAGGAATAAAAGCAATTCAGACAGCACATAGGATTTGTAAAGAAGTTGTAAAGAAGACTTTCAAACTGCTGTTATATTGAAAGCAGCTTTTTATCTTTAAACACAAACCTCTGCATTCTCCATTCTACATCATACAAACTTCAGGTCACTGTAGAGAACAAATAACAGAAAGCAGTTATTTGTGAATTCACTTGGACTTTTATTTAAATGAAGACAGTATAAAGGCTTGATATTTAGTGTTTTACCTTTTAAACTTCATTATTTTTTGTAAATATATGCTCATTCTGAAATTGATGCCTGTAACAAAACATAGGGGCAGTAGCATTTGAAGATTAGGAGCAGAAATCAGGTGTCTGATTATTGAATTGATAACTAATATTTAAAATGTTCATAAAGACGTAATAATAAAATAATCTTATGACATTTTATAATGACCGTATTATTGAAATAACTTTTATTTTGAAATGCCTTCCATTGTTCAGTGCTTATGACTTGCCCTGTCTGGTGGTTAAGCAGATGTATTTCCTTTATTTTACTTAAGTTTTTAAATTTAGTAAATGGTTAAGTGACACCTGATACCTGACAACTCACACCTGACAAATAATGACTGATACCTGATACCTAATGACTGACTACTGACGACTGGTACCTGACAACTGACAAATGATACCTGATACCTAAGGACTGACAACTGACACCTGATACCTGACAACTGATGACTGATACCTGATACTTAACAACTGACACATGACAACTGATGACTGATACCAGGGATCCAACAACTGATGACTGATACCTGACAACTGACGACTGATGACTGATACCTGACAACTGTTGTGTGGGCAATCCATTCTTTCTTTGATAATGATGTTTTGACAGTTATAACAGTGAAACTTCTTCCTAGCCATAATAATAGCTCTGCTGCTTCTTTCTGCTTTTGGCTGCAAGCAAAAATCATACAGACAAAAACAAAAACCAGCAAATAAAACAATACAAAATCATTGTTCACCACTGGAGGATCTTTACAAATGAATTCACATCAGGAACAAAGAAAAGCTCTTTGAGTGTAATAACAGCTCCCCCTCCTGAGAAAAGCAGGACTCTACCTCAGTCATATGAAACAGCTTTTGTACAGTGTAGCTGGGTTTCCTATCACTGTGGGCTCCATGGCACAGTAGTAGAATGCAGAGTCTGATACTGCAGCAGAGGAGATTGAGAGTTTCCATTGTTTGCTAATGTCTGTAGCATTCAGGTGTGGGAAAGGAGGATTTGCATGGGTTACATCAGCTGATCCTGGATATTTCAGCAGCAAGAACTCTGGTCTGGATCCAGGATACTGACGATACCACTGCAGATTACGCACACTACCCTCATACTTGCAGGAGAGAGTAACTGTCTCATCTTCAAGAGCATGAACCTGTGTTTTGGTCTCCAGTGGTGCTATTGGCTGTGCAGAAGAATTCCCTGTGAAGAAATAAAATAAAAATCATCAAAACAACCTAATTTATCACTGACATACTCAGACGCGTCACCACAAAGAAATAAAACTAAAATATCAACAAACACTTTAAACACACCAAATATATATTCCACATAGACAAAAATGGAGTCAGCTACACTTACTTAGCATGATGATAAAGACAGTCAGAGAGCACAGAAACATCATGGTGGTTCCAGTGTTCAGATAATGAGGAGAGATTTGGTGCTACTGTTCAAGCATGTAAAGACTCCTCCTACATTTGTCAGTGGAATTATTATAAGAACAGAGGAAGGCAGATCAGGAGAATAACAGTTTTTCCAAGCTTAAAAAACACAAAAAATATGATCATTTTTTCTTTTTGATGGTTCTCAATTGTGAGTTGTTTCATTGCTTCACTCTGTGCTCCATTTACTTTGCAAGTCTTGTGTATATATGTTTATACTCATGGAAGTGACTCATACAAATTTTAAATTGTGACAGAGAAGATCAACACAGTTTTCCTTCTTCATTGTAGTTTTGTGAACACTCTAGTCCAGCTGTCTCTCAAACAGGAGTAAAATGAACCGAGAACTAGAAAAGTTCAGTTGGTTTCTGTTTGGGCCAGTTCTAGTTTTTGAATGTGCAATGAAAATATTTATTAAATCCGGCAATGGCATGTGTCACTGGAGCAAGTTCATGATTATAGGACTAAAATTAATCACACAAGTCAGTGAAGTTATTAACCTGGGAAGATGAGTTTTTTCCACTGTGATGAGCTCTTTCTCCACTGTGTTCAGTTGGGTTGTTCTGCTGAGATATTCTGGTAATATTTCACAAAGGGTATTTCTACTTTCACTCAAGTACTGGAGTTGGGTTATATTGTTCACCACTGGTAGATCTTTTCAAATGAATTGACATCAGGAGCAAAAAAAAGCTCTTTGAGTGTAATAACAGCTCCCCCTGCTGAGAAAAGCAGGACTCTACCTCAGTCATATGAAACAGTTTTTGTACAGTGTAGCTGGGTTTCCTGTCACTGTGGGCCTCACAGCACAGTAGTAGAGTGCAGAGTCTGATACTGC